TTACTGTCTGTTACTCACTGACTGTGTCTGTTACTCTCACTGAAGCTGTCGCTGATGTTGGATCAATACGGTAAAGTGATTAGCTTTGAGCTATGTGTTGTGACTTCCTGTGTTGATGTGGAACTTCCTGCATGAACAGTTTTGTTTCAGGAGGGACAGACTGTCAGTGACACATTCAGATACTTTACACACAATATAAACTCTGAACTGTTTCTGATGGAAATGTAGCCGAAGCTAGCTGTTGTTAGCAATTAGCTGCTGACTAGCTGCTGCTGTTAGCTGGTTAGCGGTGCAGCTAACTCAGGAGCTCCCAGTCCGTTAGCAGCAGTTAGCGGTTAGCTAAGATCTACGAGCTAATGTCCATCAGTGAACTCTGTAGCTCCCTGAGAGTCAATCAGAGAATCCAGAAAATGTGTAAAAGCACTGAGCATAGCCCCGATCAACCAAACTCCATTCAGAAAACAAGCAGTCTAAAAGTTGGTTGGTTAAATCACAGAATAATCTGGTTATTCTGAAAAGACACTGTTAGACAGACTGAGCGGGTCCCAGTACTTGGTGAGTGCGCTCAGCCTTCATAAGTAGAAACATTCAGAGTCATCTACATACGAGTTTATGTACTGAGGCAGGTTATTGTACAGCTGCACAGTAAAGGTAAAACACATTTAATGATTATTAAATGCAAACAAAATAAAATGGATTCAATGTGAATTCAACAGTGAAATTAGATGTTGGAAATATTGAAAAAGAGTTCATCCTTTATACTGTAGATAAAACAACAAGACTGTCTGATCCAGCAAATAAAATATGAAAATTAAGCGAAAACAATCTAAAATCGCAGCTACTCATTGATCATTGATCGTCTGTCCTGACGCATGCAACCCTTTGCTGTCTTACCTGTACAGCATCCTCTGCAGCACTGTGACATTTGCTTACCTTCTTGTGTGCAGGTGAGCGTCCGTTTAAGTGCGAGAGCTGTAACTACCTGGCAGCCAACCAGCACGAGGTGACACGCCATGCCCGGCAGGTCCACAACGGCCCCAAACCTCTCTCCTGCCCCTACTGCGAGTACAAGACCGCTGACCGCAGCAACTTCAAGAAGCACGTGGAGCTCCACCTCAACCCTCGTCAGTTCCTCTGCCCTCTCTGCAAGTACGCCGCCTCCAAGAAGTGCAACCTGCAGTACCACATCAAGTCCAGGCACTCCGGCTGCAACGTCGCCGTGGACATCTCCAAGGTCAAACTGCGCGTTAAAAAACCAGGTGCCGAGGAGACCTCCAGAGCAAACAAGTTTGACAATTCATCCAGTGTTGAGGAGGACTTCGACATGGACGAGGATGACGGGGACGAGGACGGGAGTGTGGAGTCGAGCCCGATCAATCTGTCAATCAGAAAAAGCAGCCGACCCGGCATCGGGCAACTGGTGCAGAGTGACGCAGCGGACAAGAAGAAATCCAACGTCACTTCTGAGAAACTCCAAAAAGCGAAGGACAAGGTGGAACCAGAGAAAAAGGTCACAACCAGACAGAAGAAGATCGAGAAGGTCAACGAGACTCTTCTGGAGGACAAATCTGTTAAAGAAACCCAGATGGACACAACAACAGCTGCTGGAAATACAGACAACAAGACAAAGAGACGAGTCAAGAAGCTGCAGACAGAGAAAGCGACTGCCCACAATCCAGCCGAAGAAACGGTATCAGAAAAAGACCAAACACAGAAACCTGACCAGCAGAGATCGGAGGAGGTAGCGAGGCCCGACAAGGAGAAAGATCGTCAGAAGAATGACAGCAGTGCAAAAGAGAACAAAAGCCTCAACAAGCCAAGGAAGTCTGGATCAAAGAAGTCAGAAAAAATCCCAGAAGAAGCTCAGCAGAAACCCGACAGTCCTGAGAAACCTCAAAAGGAGAAGGCAGTGAAGGAAAAGGCTGCAAAGAGGAAGGCAGTGGAGGCTCTCGATCTTTCCAAAATGTCCTCGTCTGAGACTCCGGCCAAGTCCAGACGGCTGAAAGCAGCAGAGAAACCGGTTCCAGAAGATGCTAAGAAGATAAATGATGCCCCTCCTGCAACGCAGAAGACTCCTGTGAAGCAGAAGAAGACCAGGAACACCAGCAAGAAATCCCCAGTCCTCCAACAAACTGTGGATCCACGTAAAGATGAGACTAACAGTCCGTCCACAGAGGCCCCTGAAGCTTCTGCTCAGCCGGACAACCCAACACAAACCACAGACCACAGTCCCGCACAGAAAAACGCCTCCACAGGTGAGACAGCTTCAACGGTACCAAACAAACCCCCAGAGAAGATGGAGGTTGCACCCACCTGCAGCTCAGGTGAGGACACACCTTCTCCAGCTGAGAACCGCCCCGCTCCCACCTTCCTTAAACCCACATCACCGCCGTCTCTGGTGCTTCCGGGCCAGCGGAGCAAACCCGCCGATCCGGAGGACGACGAGGGCATCCACAGCAGCCACGAAGGGGGCAGCGACATCAGCGACAGCGCCTCAGAGGGCAGTGACGACTCCGGCCTCAACGGCAACGGCGCCGGGTCGGGCAAGATGGCCAATGACCCCGAAACGCCAACCGAGGAGATCCCGACCCCAACGGAGCTCAAGAGTCACATGTGCATCTTCTGCGACCGTACGTTTCCTCTGGAAGTAGAGTACCGCCGCCACCTTAACCGCCATCTTGTTAACGTCTACTACATGGACACCGCCAAAGGACAGAAGTGAGGGTCAGTAACCATGGCAACGCATTCTGCATGGACAGTTTGTTGTGAAGATATCAGTTTGTCCCAGTTAGCTTTCCGTTCTTGGTGTCTGTCTTTTAAAACACAGTTCTATAAACTCACTGTAGGCCTCATTAAAAGGGTCCAAGCACCAGCACCGTCCCCAAACCCAGTTTTAACAACTCTGTTGTGTCGGGTCAGAGACCAAACTGGGGTCCAAATAGTCTCTGGAACCTGTTTGTTAGAAACCAGCATTTTGGTCTCTCTACAGCTGTACAACTTACCCCTTTAAATGATATTAAGGATTAAAATTTGGCAGAATTAAGGGCGTGGCCTCTGAGCTTCACAGCGGCTCTTCAGAAACCGACACTACGGACATATTTCCGTGTGTGCTTTCTGTGGTCTCGTGCTGCCATCAAGTGTCCCTCCAGAGAACAGACTCTGGTTCGGGGTTGTGTTGGGTTCTTGGACCCTAGTTTCTGGTTCACTGTAGACCTTTACCCCCAAATCAGCTCTGGTTCTTGAACTGGTTACTCTCTATATACTCTCAACCTTGGTTCTGATGAACCAGCCCGAGTTCTCACCAGTTCAGTGGAACCGCTGTAATCAGATGTATCACCAGCAGAGGGCGCTGCACAGCGACCTGCAGAATAAGGCACACCCACTTTGGTTCCAGCTGGGAACCAACTTTACAGGTTCTGAACACTTGGTGCTTGAACTGGAACTGAGAACGTTCCCTGCTGGTGGAGAAGACCTGTCGTACCCTCAAAGTCTGTGACGCAGTTTAGCTCTGTGATCCACGTCTTCTAAATCAAGAGCATTTCAGAAGTAGATCATCCTCTGATGGTCCTCGGAGCGCCCTCGGAGCGTCTTCCTGTCCGACGCTGACTCGAGGGTTCTCTAGAACTCTGATGTCTGTGTGTTGGAGTGGACGCTCGTAGGTGGATGTTCATTATCACATGATCATGTTAACACAGAAAACACAAACAACAATATTGTAAAATCCTTCAGTGCCTTTGACAATCAGTCTGTACAGAAACACTTTGTTAGGTTTTAGGTTGACGTTGGAGACGAGGGAGACGGTGTGAACGCTGAGCTCTGATTGGTTAACGGCGAGGTCAGAGGTGAAGTCTGTAAATAATTGTGTGCAATATTCCTTTAGTTGAGAAGCCAAAGTGAACTGTTGTTGTTTGTGTGTAAAGAACATTTTCAGTTTATGAGACATCGTCAGACTTTAGATGAATTATCTTTAACGGCAGTGTAATGTATTACTGTGTGTATCTAATTACTCTGCTCTCATACATTAAAGGATAAATCTGGTTTTATCTTTTTATTTCCATCACGACTTCCTGTGTTCACTGATTCATTAATGAATCATTACGGTCCAAAGAAAACAATGAATTTATATTTTACAGATATGATGTCTGAATATTAAACAGCATTGTGATGTCAATAAGGATCAATAATACCGTCTTTTCCCTTTAAAGGAGAGTTATTATTCTGTTTGCTGTTACTAATGAAACATAGAAATATAACAATTGTTTATCATTAACAAACAGTATCATTCTGTCTTCTGCTCTTTTTAAATAAAGATTGTCCCAATCAACAATCAATAATGTTTGTCCGTTATTGATAAAGTGGACGGACGCTGTGGTGCATTGTGGGATTGTTACTCTGACGTTGGACCGACCGATATTAATAAGTTACAGCGAGGTCCAAATACTGAACTGCACGGACGGGTTCTCCTCACTCACTGATGCTAATGATATTATCAATTAATTACAACTAATAATATACATTATATATTAATAATATTCAATTCAATTTTATTTG